AATTATAAGGTTTAATGACAGCCTTATGAACATAATTATAATCTTTGCATTTAAAATGAAATAACTAAGTGAATGATGCTTAATAACAGATGTTATAAACATGCATAAGATCTTGTGTCATATCATGATTATAAAGGTTTAATGACTGTCTTATAAACAGACTTATGATCTTTGCATTTAAACTGAAATAACAGAGCAAATGATGCTTAATAACAGTTGTTATAAGCATGCATAAGATCTCATTCACATTCAAGTGTCATATCATGATTATAAGGTTTAATGACAGCCTTATGAACAGACTTATGATCCTTGCATTTAAAATGACATAACTGAGCAAATGATGCTTAATAACAGATGTTATAAGCATGCATAAGATCTCACTAAGATGTGTCATATCATGATTATAAAGGTTTAATGACAGTCTTATAAACATACTTATGATCTTTGCATTTAAAATGACATAACTGAGCAAATGATGCTTAATAACAGATGTTATAAGCATGCATAAGATCTCACTAAGATGTGTCATATCATGATTATAAAGGTTTAATGACAGTCTTATAAACATACTTATGATCTTTGCATTTAAAATGACATAACTGAGCGAATGATGCTTAATAACAGATGTTATAAGCATGCATAAGATCTCACTGAGACGTGTCATATCATGATTATAAAGGTTTCCTGACAGTCTTATGAACAGACTTATGATCCTTGCATTTAAAATGACATAACTGAGTGAATGATGCTTAATAACAGATGTTATAAGCATGCATAAGATCTCACTAAGATGTGTCATATCATGATTATAAAGGTTTAATGACAGTCTTATAAACATACTTATGATCTTTGCATTTAAAATGACATAACTGAGCGAATGATGCTTAATAACAGATGTTATAAGCATGCATAAGATCTCACTGAGACGTGTCATATCATGATTATAAAGGTTTCCTGACAGTCTTATGAACAGACTTATGATCCTTGCATTTAAAATGACATAACTGAGCGAATGATGCTTAATAACAGATGTTATAAGCATGCATAAGATCTCACTAAGATGTGTCATATCATGATTATAAAGGTTTAATGACAGTCTTATAAACAGACTTATGATCTTTGCATTTAAAATGACATAACTGAGCGAATGATGCTTAATAACAGATGTTATAAGCATGCATAAGATCTCACTGAGACGTGTCATATCATGATTATAAAGGTTTAATGACAGCCTTTTGAACAGACTTATGATCTTTGCATTTAAAATGACATAACTGAGCAAATGATGCTTAATAACAGATGTTATAAGCATGCATAAGATCTCACTGAGACGTGTCATATCATGATTATAGAGGTTTCCTGACAGTCTTATGAACACCCCTTCAAGTAAAGCGCTAGCCAGCAGCTAAAATAAACTACAATAAAAGACAAACGTTTACATATTATGATCACATGATTTTTTGTGTCCTGCATAATAACCTGATCTCAGAGAAGGAGCTTGATCCACATTCGAGACTTTACTTCTTTTTGTAGTGTTTATGTTCCTGCTGTAATTCTGCCATGGAATAAAACCTCTTCATGGCTTTGGGCTATAAAAATAATAATAAAAAAGCATCATTGCTGCAACCTTTAGTAAGCTGTAACTAAAACATCCCTGCATTAACAGTTTCCGTATTTCATGATTCACAGGGATTTCCCACTTATTTACAGCCATGAATTGCATTATGGAGCTTTTACTTTCCGCTAAGTCGACTTTTGATGTTGAAAACTCAACACTACAGTTGAACAAAGTGACTCTTATTGACATTTTAGTAGTTTTGAAACAATATATTGCATAATAAATACTATATAGAGAGAAGTAAGTATGTAAATAACTGAAAATGTACTGGCAGGTTATTACCAGGATTTTATACCATAATTTAAAACACTAATACAGACAGCATATCACTTCAAACTATTAAAAATATCAATAAAAGTCACTTTTTTAAAAACGTTTCAACATTAAAAGTTGTTGTTCAGGTCACACAAAGCTTAAAAAATACGGAAAACTGTTAACTCATGGATATTTTGTTAATAAGGTTTCTTACTGACCTGTAGCATACAACACTACGGTTTATCAAAGTGACTTTTATTGTCATTTTAGTAGTTTTGAAACAATATATTGTAAAATAAATACTATATATGTATAGAAATAAGTCTGTAAAATAATCGAGAAATGCTGTCAGATTATTACCAGGCTTTTGTAAAATAATTTAAGATTCCTGGGCATCACAGTGGGTAGCACAATCGCCTCACAGCCAGAAGGTCGCTGGTTCGAGCTATGGCTGAGTCAGTTGGGCTTTCTGTGTGGAGTTTGTATGTTCTCCCCGTGTTGGTGTGGGTTTCCCTCACAAGTCCAAACACATGCGCTATAGGGGAATTGGGTAAGCTAAAATGACCGTAGAGTATGAGTGTGTGTATGGGTGTTTCCCAGTGATAGGTTGCAGCTGAAAGGGCATCCGCTGTGTAAAACATGTGGTGGATAAGTTGGCGGTTCATTTTACTGTGGTGACCCCAGATTAATAAAGGGACTATGTCGAAAAGAAAATGATCGAACGAATTTAAGATTCCAATACAGACAATATATCACTTCAAAATATTAAAAATATCAATAAGTCACGTTTTTTTAAATGTTTCAACATTAAAAGTTGTGGTTTAAGTCACATAAAGCTATTCAAGAGCATAAAAAATACAGAAAACTGTTAACTTATGGATATTTTTCACAATCGTTATTAAGATTACTGACCTGTAGTGAAAAAATCCAGTAGTTTCAAAATAGAATGAATATTCAAGCTTTGATATGTTACAAATTGACGATACATTCTAAATATGGCGTAACTATAGTTTTTCACCCGCTTCGAACCTTATCACTCAACTGAATGGGTGTTATATCAGTGGTTATCAGCTGATAGATATGGGTCAGTAGGGGCCTTCTGCACCTACCTACTATCATCCATCCACATGGCTAATCAGCTAAACTACTGATAATTAATACTCCATGTAAACAATTCAAGGCGACTCGGTGGCGCAGTGGGTAGCACGTTCGCCTCACGGCAAGAAGGTCGCTGGTTCGAGCCTCGACTGGGTCAGTTGGCCTTTCTGTGTGAAGTTTGCATGTTCTCCCGGTGTTGGCGTGGGTTTTCCTCCAGTTTCTCCCATAGTCCAAACACATGTGGTACAGGTGAATTGAGTATGCTAAAAATGCCCATAGTGTAAGAGTATGTGTGTGAATGAGTGTGTATGGATGTCTCCCAGTGATGGGTTGCAGCTAAAAGGGCATGCGCTGTGTAACGTATGCTGGTATAGTTGGCGGTTCATTCCGCTGTGGCGACCATTGATTAATAAAGGGACTAAGTGAAAAGAAAATGAATGAATAATTCTTGTTAACTTCCGGCTGCAGCTGTATGTGATCTATAGCTGATTAACCATGTGGATGGATGATAACAGCCTACTGAGCCGACTAGTATCCCATATCTATCAGCTGATAACCACTTATAATACACATTCAATCCATAACATGATGTGATTATATGATGACATTCGAATCGGCTGAGTTTTTCCTGTACATGAGCGACATTGATCCAATGCTCTATAAGGCACAATATGATCTATTGTAATTCAGTTATTGCTACAATCCTTTAAATGACCCCATGGGTCAAAAACTGACAACACATGAAGCTTCAGCTAGTCAGAATGGAATGGAAAGAGTCATAAATCGTGGTCACAATTCATCCCAAGTTTAAAGAAACACTCCACTTTGTTTATTTATTTACCATTTTTTCATTCCTTTCGATCCCTGTGCCTTATGTGAGGACCTTTAGCTTAGCTTAGCATAGATCACTGAATCAGATTAGACCATTAGCATCTTGCTCTGAAATTAAAATGAGTAGCTTGAATTTCCTGTAGTTACATCGTGTACGAAGACTGACGAAAAGTTAAAAGTAGCTATTTGCTAGGGTGATATGGCTAAACTATTTCGAATGAAATGCTAATGGTCTAATCTGATTCAATGATTTATGCTAAGCTAAGCTAAAAGTGCTCCTGCCAGATCCGGAGATTGGCTGAAAAGATTCAAATACGGTAAATCTCCAACGTTTAACTCTGGAGAAGCTGTAAAATGAGCCAATTTCCAGAAAAAAGTGGATTGTTCCTGTAAAAATTATAGCTTAATTTCTCTTCCCCAATTAATACTCTTTTCCCATAAACACTCTCAAGTATGTATACACCGCTGTATACTCCATATAGCAGCTTTAAAGGCATAGTTCACAAAAAAATTACATTTTACATTTAATTTAGCTGACTTTTTCTCAACACCTAGAACAATACAGAAGATTTTACGCTGGATCTCTGGTTATTGGCGATTCATATAATGGCAGTGAATGGTGACCCGTTTTTAATATTAAAAATAAACACATACAAATGACTCCAAATCAATCTTCGAGGCTCCTGATGATAGATTGAAGAAAAAATGCAAGAAATAAAACATTATTTACAATACTATTAGCTTTAATCTCCAGCCAACACTCATGCAGACTAATAATAAATATAATAAAGCTAAAAATATTGTAAATAATGTTTAGTTTCTTGTACAGACTGATGGTTTTGCTTCATAAGAGCTCAGTGTGTCATCAGGAGCCATGGCTATTTATTTAGACTTGCTTATATGTGTTTATTTTTACCCTCAAAAACGGGTAACCATTGATTGCCATTATATGATTCCCCAAGCAGCATCAATTCAGCTAAAAATCTGCAGGAAATTTTCTACTGAAGAAACAAAAAACATCACCTACATCTTCAACAACCCCAGGATGAATAAACTAGCAGGAAATGTTAATTTTTAAGTGAACCATCCCTTTAATTGCACCAAATTAAATGAATATTATAGAGACGAGACTGTCATATTTGAGAATAATGAGAGTAATACGTAAGTTGTTTAGAGGAAAATGTAAAAGTTAATTCAGTTTAAAGCAAAATGTTCTTTTATTTTGGTAAGATGAATTGCGACCTGGTTGATTGTGTGGGATTGAATGGTGTCAGACAGTGAAGCGGTTTGGCGGAATGTGTCAGAAATCCTCCTCTTCTAGACAGAGGTGACTCTGCTTCTTGCGGACGTTCCAGTGTAAACATTGAGCCAGACTCTCGAACCAGTCGTTCACCGGATCACGGAAACAGATGGACGGAAGAGGGAAACACGATGTGGTGATGGTGATACTGGACAACAGAGAGAGCATAACAACAGTTAGAAATAAATAAGTAAGTAAATTAATAAATAAGTAGCTAAGTAAATAAATAAGTAAACAAATAAGCAAATAAGTAATTAAGTGAATAGATAAGTAAATAAGTAAAAAATTAAATAAATAAATAAAAGGGTAAATAAAAAATAAGTAAATAAATAAAGGAGTAAATAAATAACTAAGTACATAAGTAAATAAATAAGCAAATAAGTAAATAAATAAAAGAGTAAATGAATAAATAAATATAAGTGTAAATAAATAAGTAAATAAGTGAATAAATAAAAGGGTAAATAAATAAAATGCTAAATAATTAAATAAGTAAAGAAATAAAAGGGTAAACAAGTAAATAAAAAGGGTAAATAAATTAATAAGTAAATAATTAAATAAAAGGGTAAATAAATAAGTAAATAATAAAATAAGTACATGAGTAAATACATAAGTAAATAAATAAATAAGTAAATCAATAACTACATAAGTAAATAAATAACTACATAATTAAATAAGAACATAAACAAATATACATAAGTAAGGAAATAAATAAATAAATAAATAAACAAGTAAATAAGTAATTAAATAAGTAAATACCCAAGTAAACAAGTAAATAAGTAAATTATTAAGTAAATAAGGTAATAAGTACATATGTAAATAAATAAGAAATTAAATAAGTAAATAAATAACTAAGTGAACAAGTAAAAAATAAGTAATTAAGTAAATAAATAAATAAAGGGGTAAATAAATTAATAATTAAATGAATAAGTAAATAGGTAAATCAATAAATGGGTAAATAAATAAATAAGTAAATAAATAAACAAGAACGTAAATAAGTAAATAAATAAATAAATAAATAAATAAGTAAATGCATAAGTAAATAAATGAGCAAATAAACAAGTGCATACATAAGTAAACAAGTAAATACATAAGTAAATAATTAAATTAATAAGTAAATAAATAAATAAGTAAATAATTAAATAAATGGGTCATGCACTGCAAAAAATGCTGATTACACACAATTCTTTCATGTTGAAAGAATCAATTAATTAATTTAACTTAACTATTTTTACAAATTAAAGTGGACTGAACATAAAACAATTAAGTTGTTTGAACAAGCAGCAAAAGTCACACCTTGAGTGTGTTTTAGTTGACAAGACACAAACTAAGCTGCTTTACTATGCTGTCTGTCACGTCTGCACCAAAGCTGATGCAAAACAACGTTTACCGCTGTAAATACTACTTTCCAGCTGAAAAAGTCGAGTAGAAAACAAAAAATTCAGTGTGCAAAAATCTTTTGAGTTGTCAATCTGGCAACCCTTGTGTGTGTGTGTGGAGTCATCTTTCTAGGAGAAACCCTCTCTAATGTTTTGAATTTGGACTGCAATAGCTAGTTCAACCACTAGGTGTCAAATCCTGCACACTGCACCTTCAATTTAGGTGTTCAGTAAATCATCGCTTGAAACTTTCGGGTAATTGGCATTGAACACAGATGCATGAGGCGCTCACCTGTCTCCGCATGCAATCTCCTGGCGTCTCCTGCCATCGAGCGACACCCAGGCCGTGTTTCGGGCGTCCTGGGACAGCATTATCTGCAAGCACAGCAGTGTTTAGTGAACTTTCACGACAATATGGGGAAATTTTGCAACGAAAAACAATTGTAGCTGCTCAACTAGAATTACAGCTGGACATTACACATGCTGTGTGTGACGAATGCAGATGTGCACATTGCGATATCGATGCTGAAACAATATACTGTGCTCAATTGTAATATATATATATACGTTGACTTTGGTTCCGCTTGACTCACCTTAAGCTCCACGCCGGCTGGAACCACGATGGGTCTGAAGGACAGAGAGTGCGGGCAGATGGGAGTGATCATGATGGCGGGCACGTTTGGGTGGATCATGGAGGCTCCGGCTGCCACTGCATAAGCTGTGCTTCCAGTGGGAGTCGACACCAACACTCCTGACAGAGAGAACAACACGCAACACATCACGCTTATTCTTATTTAAACACTATAGATTTAATTCTTTTCAGCAACTCTAGCACTTATTCAGATCTTTCGAGACAGAATGAATGTAGCAGGGACTGCTGGAGAGCACTTTTAAATTTCATTCTGTCTGTGACAATAACAAGAAAGATCTTTTCTATTCGGTTCGGTTCTATTTTGTTTTATTTTAAATTTTAATGTTTAATTTTTGTTAATGTACTTTAATTGGTTCTAATCTATTTGGTTCTATTTTATTTGGTTCTATTCTGTTCTGTTCAGATCTATTTTGTTTTTACATCTATTCTATTGAGTTCTATTTTACTTCTGTTCTAGTCTATTCTGTTCAGTTTTATTCTATTTGGTGATATTCGATTCAGTTCTATTCTATTTTATTCTGTTCTGTTCTATTCGGTTGTAATCTATTCTGTTCTATTCGGTTCTTTTCTATTCTACTCTTCAGTTCTAATCTATTCTGTTTTATTCTATTCTGTTCAGTTCTATTATATTCTATTTGGTTCTAATCTATTTAGTTCTACTTTATACTGTTCAGTTCTTTTCTAATTGATTATATTCCATACAATTCTATTCTACTTTATTCTGTTCTATTCTTTTTGGTTCAGTTCTGTTCTCTTCGCTTTTAATCTATTCTGTTTAATTCTATTCTATTCGATTCTGTTCAATTCTATTCTACTCTATTCAGTTCTAGTCTATTCTGTTTTATTCTATTCGGTTTTATTCTATTCAGTTCTTTTCTATTATGTTCAGTTCTCTATTTCTATTCTATTTTGTTCCATTCTGTTCAGTTGTACTTTAAACTGTTCGGTTCAATTCTATTCAGGTCTATTCTATTTGATTATACTCCATTCTGTTGTATTCTACTTTATTCTGTTGTAATCTATTCTATTAGATTCTATTCGGTTCTGTTTGGTTTAGTTCTCTTCTTTTCGGTTTAAATCTATTCTGATTTATTCTATTTAGTTCTACTTTGTTCAGTTCAGTTCTATTCTATTCTATTTGATTTGTTTCCATTCTGTTCAGTACTTTATACTGTTCAGTTCTATTCTATTCAGTTCTATTCAATTTGATTATATTCTATTCAGTTATATTCTTCTTTATTCTGTTGAAATCTATTCTATTTGTTTCTATTCTATTCGGTTCTGTTTAGTTCAGTTCTATTGTATTTGGTTCAAATCTATTCTGTTCTATTCTTATTCAGTTCCGTTCAACTTGGTTCGGTTATTTCTATTCAGTTCTATTCTATTCAATTCTACTTTATTCTGTTAAGTTCTATGCTATTCATTTATATTCTGTTCAGTTCTATTTTATTTGGCTCTATTCTTATTCAGTTTTTTTTCCTATTCTGTTTTATTCTATTCTGTTCCGTACTACTATATTCTATTTGGTTCCAGTCTGTTCAGTTCTACTTTATTCTGTTCAGTTCTACTTTATTCTCTTCACTTCTGTGCTATTCAGTTCTATTCGGTTTAGTTCATTTTTTACTTATTTCAGTTTTAATCTATTCTGTTCTATTCTATTCAGTTGTATTCTATTATTCTATATCCATAATGTAAATGAATGATGTTTCACACTAACCGTCTCCTTGAACCGTGGTGATCAGGTGACCATCCAGAAACAAGTCTACATTGGAGAGGTATGAAGACGGCCCTCTGTCTATAACAACTTCATTCAGCACCTGACAGGCAGAGTTACAGAAAATAAGCATTAAATATGAAAACACCTGAAAGACACTAAAAATGGAAACACATTTTAAAGGGGACCTATTGTGCCTATTTTTAGGTAAAATAAGTTTCTGATGTCCCTAGAGAGAGTGTGTGTGAAGTTTCAGCTCAAAATATCACACAAAATATGCTTTATAACTCTCTGAAACTGACTGATCCAATAGAGGTGTTTGGGGACTGTCACTTTAAATTGAAATGAGACTGTGCTCTTTTCAGAATAAGGTGGAGCTACAAATGCCTTTAGAGGTAGAGTCCAAACTAATGTTGGACGGCTGCTTCTCACTCAGGGCTGTTTATGCTAATGAGAGAGAGAGATGCTTACTAGTGGGTGGAGCTTTCCCCCTCTGATGACACATACAAAGGGAGAATGTCAATCAAAGTGCTTCTGCAGACTGATTTGATCAAGTCATTTATAAACGATTTAATTAACCAATGTTTACCATTAGAGGCTCTCTGAAAGTGAATAATACAGGCTCTGGTACTCACTTGATACTGCATAGTTTTGTGGTTGGGTTCAGCGTCTCCATTAGTAAGCTTTAAACTGTTCTCCTCCGCCGGTCCCTTCTCTCGAACCGCTTTCACTACTGTGACCTGCAGACGGCTGCGCAGGACGAGTGCAGCATTTCCTACAGAAACAACAGGTAAGTACTGCAGAAATACTCTAGACACAGTCAAGACACACCATGAATTAAAAACAAGCATAATAGTACACTCTGAATGGTTTTTGAGTCTGAAATTTTTGCATGCTTCTTCTTATATTTATTATCGTCAGATTTTCTCCATATGCATACTGATGCTATATTGGTCACACTTTACAACAAGGTTCATTAGTTAATGTTAATGCATTTACTAAGATGAACAAACAATGAACAATACATTTACTACTGTATTTGTTGATGCTAGTTAACGTTAGTTAATGAAAATACAGTAGTTCATTGTTAGTTCATGTTAACTCATGGTGCATTAACTAATGTTAACAAACATGGACTTGACTGTTAATAATGCATTAGTAAATGTTCAGTTATGATTAATAAATGCTGTACATGTGTTGTTCATGATTAGAAAATGCATTATCTAATCTTATTGTAACTTTATTGTAAAGTGTTACTGCTATATTATTATCTTTAGGTCGTTAGGGGGAGAAATACATCAGTGAATTTAAAACTACAGCTGATAATCATTATAAAACAGGTGAGTGAATTTCTAAGTCGATCTCTCTCTTTTGTATGTTGTTGTGCTGTATTTATACCACAGTAATCTGCTAGTGTTTGCGCTGCTTGGACTTTTTCCGACTTAATTATTGTGATATCCTGATTGCAGCAGTACACATACTAAAAATACTGATGTTTTTTATATTTATTTTGCCCACTCAACAGTTCACACATTATTGTCTGGCTGGTTTCTGTCCTCTACTTATAAGCAGGGCCAGACGGAATCAGCGGATGTTTTTTGCTATTTCTGCGGAGAATTTTGGTAAAAATCTGCGGATTTCTTCTGAATTATTTTGGGAGTATCTAGCGGAGTATCATAACTAAAACCTTAATATATTAAATAAAAAGTAATAAATTACTGAATAAAACGGAATAAATTCAGATTTACACATTTACTCAAGTAAATAAACAGAATTAATAATAGGCTAAAAATCTGCAGAAATCAGCGGAATTATGCGGAAAATCTGCGGAATTCTGCGCGCGCAGATTCCGTGTGGTGGAATGTGCGTGTGCAGAATTCAGCAGATTTTTACCCCATCATTGATTCTGTTTGTTTACTTGTGTAAATGTGTGTAAATTCATATTTTTTCAGTTTTTAAATTAACTTCAGTAATATTATTGACTAACATGAAAATGTTCACATGATTTAATTACAATACAGTTTGTAGAGTAATATTTTCTGTCTTTTAGTAGAGATATTTTATGAGAGACTTGCTTTCTTTACCAAATAAAGTGGATCTAATTGGACTTGCAATGTGGACATTAAATAAAGCTCACAAGGTTTTACTTTTTAGTTCATATATCAAGTTTTTAGTTATGATACTTCCAAAAGGATTCTGCATAAATTCTCAGATTTTTTTTTCCAAAATTCTGCATAGAAATAGCAAAAAATGTCTGCAGATTCCATCTGGCCCTACTTATAAGCTAAAAAGGCAATAAAGGTCCAACATTCCTGACCGTTATCATTAATAAAGCCTAGAGAAACAGACCACCAGTATATTGTAAACCGATTCAACCGTTCAAATATTCTTTTCCAGTTATCAAAGAAATAAATGCAAATTACATTTTGACTAGTGAAATAAAAAACTACAACACCACGAAAACCAAGCAACAACAACAACAACAAAGAATTTAAATGAGCATTAGAGGATAGCATTACATGAACATCGGAAAAATAAGACCTGTGCTACAATATTCAGGACCTAGAACAGCGAATTTAAGACTGTTTAAGGCCCAAAATTTCGATTTTTAAATTTGAGACTTTTTAAGAGCCCGCGGACACCCTGCAAAGAGTTAGTAAACATTATTTGTGTGCTACTTTGAGCTACTTTTGTTGCCTTTATAGGTCTGTGTTCATGTCTACTGAATTACAGACACATTACACACAGTATCTACACATTACACATCATGCAACTAAAAACTCTTAAATCAAGGAAGCGTTCTCTAGATATGAATTAACATCAAGCTTACCCCGTTGGCAGATTATTTAGCTTGTTACAATGAAAAGCTCACTTAATTTTGACTGATTATTTCTTAAAACAACAAAATATTTCATTCTTGTCAAGAAAATGCTTCTTGATTTATGAACTTTTTGATATTTGTACTAGAAACAAGACCAGAACTCAAAGTAAGAAAGACATTTTTTTTGAAGTGTAGACAGAACTTCAGTCATGCTAATTCAGATTAGAGTATTAAATTAATCTTGTTTATTTTAGTTGGGGATTCCATAGTCCAGGTGTTAGTAATCTGCACTTAATCTGTGCTTCAGAAAGCCATTTTTAAGCCATGATTAACTATTCTAGGTTAAAACCTACTCCTGGCACAATTTAAGCCCAGGGAAACAGACAGATTGTGGAAGATTTACCTTCTATAACCTCTGTGACCTGAGACTGGTATGTGTCGAAGTTAAACGGTGTAAGAAAACCCAGAGAACCCAAGTGGAAGGCCATGACTGGAGGCACACTCTCCTACAACACACACACACACACACACACACACACACACACACACACACACACACACACACACACACACACCACACACACACACACACACACACACACACACACACACACACACCACACACACACACCACACACACACACACACACACACACACACACACACACACACACACACACACACACACAAACACACACACACACACAAACACAAAAAAGCATGCACAAGCGCATTAACGTTCAGGCAAGCACACATGCACACACGCACCCACACAAGCACGCACACAACTCACATTCCTAAAATGCCCCGTCTGCATTCCTGATTTCTGCAGCGTTCAGTGCCATTCACTCCTCTCACCTGTGTCAGGAAAGTGCAGAGTTCTTTAAAAGGCTGCAGGAGGCCGGCGTCTCTGATCTTTTTTATAATAAGGACACTTTTGGGTGGTTTGCTCCACGTCAGCCTCTGCCTGGCTGGATCCTGAATATGCCTGAATGCACAGATATCAACCAACACTGCGGTCAGCACTGGTACAATAATCATCCGACACTACTCTGATTTCTGAAATGGTTGCATTTACAGTTGACCAAATGATTGTGTCGGCACTAAACGGATGTGTTTCAGATCTCCAATTCCAGCACTATATGCCAATGTAAACTAGGATGCACTGAATAAAGCGATCAGATACACCTGCCCCTTTAATTATGCACAGAATTTTAATTATGTTTTTCTCTTCTTCTTCATTCTTTTATATCACATTTTACCTGTTTTTATGTTTTGTTTTGTTTTATGCATTTTTATTTTTGTTTTTATTTTTATTTTACTTGTTTCTTTTATTCTTGTTTATGTAAAGCACTTTGAATTGCCATTGTGTATGAAATGTGCTATATAAATAAACTTGCCTTGCCTTGCCTTGCCTAGAAGAGTAAGCTATAAACAGTTGAAGTCAGAATTATTCGCCCTCCTTTGTCAAATATTTCCAAAATGATGTTGAACAGATTCAGGAATTTTTGACAGTATGTTTGATAATATTTGTTCCTCTGGAGAAAGTCTTGTTTATTTTATTTCGGCTGGAATAAAAGCAGTTTTCAATTGTTTTAAAGCTATTTTAAGCTCAATATTATTAGCCCCCTTAAGCAATATTTATTTTGGATTGTCTCCAGAACAAACCACTGTTGTACAATGACTTGCCTAATTACCCTAACTTTACCCTAATTACCCTAGTGAAGCCTTTACATGTCACTTTAAGCTGAATACTAGAGTCTTGAAGAATATCTAGTCTAATATTACTTACTGTCATCATGAAAAGAGAAAATACATCAGCTATTAGAAATGAGTTATGAAAACTACTGTGATTAGAAATGTGTTGAACAAATCTTTTATCCGTTAAACAGAAATAGGGGAAAAAATATACAGCCGATCAATTAGCACCAGGCCGAAATTATAAATTATTATAATTAAATTATTATAATAAAAAATTATATAAATTATTAATTAAAACTTCCGCATTTCTCACCTGGCTTGAGAAACCCGTTCTCAAAGACTTATTATTTGGGAAGCACACATATTCTGAATGCCTTCAGCAGAACTCAAATGAACTATTTTAATCTAGTTTAATATAGATACAAAAATAATGTATGCCCAGCTGGATGGATGGATGGATGGATGGATGGATGGATGGATGATAGGTAAATGGACGATGGATGGATGGATGGATGGATGGATGATAGATAGATGGATAGATAGATGGATGGATGGATGGATGGATGGATGGATGGATGGATGGATAGATGGATAGATGGATAGATGGATAGATGGATGGATAGATGGATAGATGGATAGATGGATAGATAGATAGATAGATAGATAGATAGATAGATAGATAGATAGATAGATAGATAGATAGACAGATAGATAGATGGATAGATGGATAGATAGATGGATAGATAGATGGATAGATAGATGGATGACGGATGGATGACGGATGGATGACGGATGGATGACGGATGGATGACGGATGGATGGATAGATAGATAGATAGATAGATAGATAGATAGATAGATAGATAGATAGATAGATAGATAGATAGATAGATAGATAGATAGATAGATAGATAGATAGATAGATAGATGGATGACGGATGGATGACGGATGGATGACGGATGGATGACGGATGGATGACGGATGGATGACGGATGAATGGATGGATGGATGGATGGATGGATAGATGGATAGATAGATAGATAGATAGATAGATAGATAGATAGATAGATAGATAGATAGATAGATAGATGAGCCATGATATCATGATATCTATTTTTTGTCGTACTATAAATTGCACCAAAATATATTGCAATAAAAAAATTATTATCAATTTAAGACCATTTTATGCCACTCATTATATAAGACCAGAATGACAATACAATATCATCACAATGCAAGTGCACTCTTTCAAAGAAGACATCATATTTCATTCATTTTTTTTTTTTTAGGGGTTTTTCACCTTTATTGTGACAGGACAGTAGAGAATTCAGACAGGAAAGCACTGGGAGCAGAGAGAGGGAAAGGATCGGCAAAGGACCTCGGGACGGGAATCGAACCCGGGTCGCCACGAGCACACTGGTGCTATATGTCAGCGCACAGTACCACTAGGCTACTGGCGCCGACTCATATTTCATTCTTAAGTTAATTATAGTCATGTTAACAGTCTGATAATGAGGCACTGGAGTCAGAATGTGAAAACACAGATCCTAAATAAATAATAATAAATGTTAATAAGATAAAGAGTAACAGAGGCTGCGATATCTGCTACCAGATCTATTTTCAGCTGTCAGACACTCACATGAAATTATACCATAGTAATTTATAGTAAATACTACAGTGTTTTATTACCCATGCTGACACTGACACCTCCAGTAGAGCTCGAGATGTTGCACAATCAGCTCAAATGTTGCTAGAATTGTTTTTTCTGTATGGGCGATATATATATTGCATGGCCAAAAATGCTTGAGGTCACGTATATGTGCTGTGCGATAACTCGATGTATTGATTAACGTGACAGGTCAAGTAATATGTCAAAATGAATAGTTTATTATGGACTCACATGACAGCTTTAGGGTTCTTCAGTATGCTGGCTTTGGGCCCAAATGTGGTGACAGGGCTTGGTCCATGAAGTGATTGTGTCCTCCTGTGAAAGAGCAGAACAGAGATATGATTTCACCACAGCATTCGGCTTCAATTTCAAGAATATAACAAAGCCGTAAAGCAAAGATAATGGACACAAGTAGGGCTGTGCAACAGAATGATAACCATCTCATATCAAGATACAGGTCACCACATTCAGCTGAAGTCTGAATTATGAGCCCTCCTGTTTACTATTATCCCCGATTTCAACACATTTGCAATCATAATAGTTTTAATAACTCATCTCTAATAACTGATTTATTTTCTCTTTGTCATGATGACAGCACATAATATTAGACTAGATATTCTTCAAGACACTAGTATTCAGCTTAAAGTGACATTTAAAGGCTTCACTAGGGTAATTAGGGTAAAGTTAGGGTAATTAGGCAAGTCATTGTATAACAGTGGTTTGTTCTGGAGACAATCAAACACTAATATTGCTTAAAGGGGGCTAATAATATTGACCTTAAAATGACTTTAAAACAATTAAGAACTGCTTTTATTCTAGCCGAAATAAAACAAATAAGACTTTCTCCAGAAGTAACAAATATTATAGGAAATACTGTGAAAAATTCCTGAATCTGTTCAACATCTTCTGGGAAATATTTGAAAGAATTCGCAAAAGGGTGAAATATTACCCTAACCCATATTCATATATAGTAAATCTGCTCATAGCTTATCCAATCTGTATATAATGTTGATAGTACATCCATCTGTAAATATCACCATAGTTTTCTATAACTGCACTTGCTGCTATTGCACTGCTGGTTAGACCTAAACTGCATTTCGTTGCATTGTACTTGTGCATGTGTAATGACAATAAAGTTGAATCTAATCTAATCTAATCTAATAATTCTGACTTCCTCTGTATATCAGCTATCGTGTTTACATAAAGATGAATGGCAGCAACATTTGATCTGACAGCCCAGTCTCTGTTTTCTCATCTCAGGTGTCAAAGAGCTCTGGTCACCTCTTCACAAACTATCCTTACAGACAAACAAAGGAAAATGGCAATTTTCTTTATTTTTATTTAGATATATTTTTTTGAAGAAGTTGTACAAACGGGGAGAAACGGTGGCTCACTGTGGCCCCACAGCAAGAAGGTCACTGGTTCATTGGCATTTCTGTGTGGAGTTTGCATGCTCTTGTTGGCGTGGGCTTCTTCCGGGTGCTTTGGATTCCTCCACAGTCCAAACACATGCGCTATAAGGGAATTGATGAACTATTGGCCATAATGTATGAGTGTGTGTGAATGAGTGTGTATGGGTGTTTCCCCAGTACTGGGCTGCAGCTGGAAGGGCATCTGCTGCGTGAAGCCTGGTTTATACTTTTGCTTCAAGTGATCGGCGTGACCCACGGCGCATGTCATGCACGCTAGCTGTGCATTAATTCTTCTGCAGGCTGTAATAACACTTTCGAAACGCTAGTTGGCAGTGAGGTGTTTATGTTCCTCTGTGTCAAGTTTTTTTGCTGGTGCTTTGTTTTTTCTAAACGCTTCCTTAAATGTACAAGTGGCTCAAACCCGCTCATTTTGAGGCAGGAAACGGCGAACGTGCAACAACCTTTATCTTGAGGTAAACACAAAACAAAACTTTCCATCTGGAGCTCCTTCACTGGACTCCACACTTGTAAACAATTGCGCCATCTGGCTCGCGCAGCTCTCAATCCCACCCACACTCGTCAGAACTACCAAGCCGACCAATCACAGAGCTTGAGCTACACGTCGTTGCGACAGGTAGTTGCATTTTTTGAGAGGTGCACGTCAGGCGAGGGCTATGCGTCCATGAGTAGAAGCAGAACGCAGAAGTATAAATCAGCTTTAAAACATATGCGGGAATAGTTGGCGGTTCATTCCACTGTAGAGATCCTTGATAAATAAGTGAGTAAACCCAATGAAAATGAATGAAAGACTATTTGAACACTAAAATATCAGTATCTCAGCTGATAGAACGGTGAACTATTTATTAAATAATTAATTTTAATTTAATTTTAAAATAGGTTTTATTTATAATATTTAGTTTATATACAATATAAATTAGCTAATAACTTTGACAATAATAAATAATAGGGCCACCATGCAACCCCTCTTTCAAATATTGTTTATTTAATTTTAGATTTAACTATAAATGCTGGATTACAGCGCGAAAGACAGCAGTTGCTAATAAGCTATACAGAGTATGATCAAAATACTGAATTTCCCCATTAGCCACATGACAACCAACATTACACACAGAGCTTATACAACATTTACTAAAGCAGAAGTGTTGCAAAAGTGTGGAAAGACTGATGCAGTTGTGGAAAGTATGCGGTAAGATGGAGCAATCATGTGTTAAACTGTAGATAAAACTATATACACACTTATGCAGACAGTACACTAGGTAACTAGAGACTGTCAAGTAATAGACAATAGTAATATAGTAATAATAATAATAATAATATTAATAGGGATTTTTATTGCAATTACCAGTAACATTTTTCAACAAAATAAAAAGAAATAAATATATTATGATAATGTAAGTTTTGTGCTATAAAATTGGTAAATGAATTGAGTAACAGCGCAACAATTATATTTATAAAAACTATTTTATTCTTTATTTATAAAATTTAACTATTATAAATATTTTCTTTATTACAAATTCACTATAATAATAATAATAATAATAATAGTAATAATAATAATAGGGATTTTGTTGCAATTACATTAACATTTAAAAAAAATACATAAATATATTATAATACTGTAACATTTATTTTGTAAAATAAGTAAATAAATTGAGCAATAGCGCAACTATTATATTTATATAATAACTATTTTATTTTTTATTTATATAATATAACTAATTTTAAATATTTACATTTTTGACAAGTTCAGTAAAAAAAAAATAATAATAGAGATTTTTAAAATTGCAATTACAAGTAGTAAATGAATTGAGTAACAGCGCAACCATTATATTTATAATAACTATTTTATTTTTAATTTATATAATATAATTATTATAAATATTTCATTTTTTACAAATTCAGTACAACAATGATAATAATACTGTTTTTTTGTATTGCAATTACCATTAACTAACTATTTGAAAAAATATATATATATTCTAATAATGTAACTTTTATGCTGTAAAATAAGTAAATTAATTGAGTGATAGCGCAACTATATTTATATAATAACTATTTTATTTAAATAATATAACTATCATAAATCGTTCAAATTTTTCCAAATTTAGTATAACTATTAAAATAATAATAATCGTAATATCAAATATATATATATATAATAATAGGGTGGCATGGAGCCTCAGTGGGTAGCACTGTCGCCTCACAGCAAGAAGGTCACTGGTTCAAGTCCTGGCTGGGTCAGTTGGCAATTCTGTGTGGAGTTTGCATGTTCTCCCATGTTGGCGTGGGTTTCCTCTGGGTGCTCCGGTTTCCCCCACAGTCCAAACACATGTGCTATAGGAGAATTGGGTAAGCTAAATTGTCCTGGTCCTCCAGGTTGGGGGTTAGACATTACCAACCTCATAAAAATGAGATGTTACGAAATAAATGGCCCTGGTAGTGAGTGAGTGAGTGAGAAAGTGAGTAAGTGAGTGAGTGAGTGAGTAAGTAAGTAATAATAATAATAAATAAATAAAAGAAAGAAAAGAAATATACTATAATAATGTAACTGTTGTGCTGTAAAATAAGAAAATTAACTTTGAGTAATAGTGCAATAGCAAAATAACAATACTTCACACATCATGCATGTGCATGAACGAGCGTGCCGCCCTGCAGAAAACTACTGCTCAGAAAAAGAAAGTTACAATAACTAGACATGGTTCAAGTATTACACATAATGAACATTAAAACACCATTCCAACAGGTGTTTAACTCGTATTGTTACTAGCAAAAAGCACTTAGCCTCGAGCCAGAAAAAATCATACTGTAGATCAGTGTACAATGGAAAATCATTGAAAGCTAGCATTTAAATAATTTAGACTGTAATTTGCCCTAAGTAACTTGCGGTTAAGCCATGCACAGTGTTTGGTCCAGTAAAACAGGTCCTAAAGGCGTGTTCACACAGTCACAACCATGATGAAAACTATGAAGATGGAAACATAAGTCTTGATGTAAAAGAATCAAATCCACACCACAACTACCCAGCCAATCTGAATTGATATATGATATTTGATTTTACAAAGCGTAAGTGATTCAAGCTATAAATAAATGACAAAACTGAAAAAGCACACAATATTCATGATTAAACACAAGAAAAAAAAAGATTAAAAACAAGAAGAACATTATAATAAAGATTAAATACAAGAAAAAATGATTAAAAACAAGAAGAACATTATAATAAAGATTAAATACAAGAACAAAAATGATTAAAAACAAAGCACACAATATTAATGATTAAACACAAGAAAAAAATGATTAAAAACAAGAAGAACATTACAATAAAGATTAAATACAAGACAAAAATGATTAAAAACAAGAAGAACATTACAATAAAGATTAAATACAAGAAAAAATGATTAAAAACAAGAAGAACATTATAATAAAGATTAAATACAAGAAAAAAATTATTAAAAACAAGAAGCACACAATATTAATGATTAAATACATGGGTAAAGTATTTTTTGTAAAGTTACATATTACTTTTTTGATGTTTTTGACTGTTTGTTTTTCTGTTTTGAGCAAAATTATTTTAAAAAATTCAATAAATAAAGTGCTTAGATTTTTAAAAATATTACAATCTTAGGCTACGTTTACACTAATTTGGATCAATTTGTCTAAAAACGCTCAGTGTCCACACTATGGTTTTGAATTCTTTCAATCATCCACAATACAAGTACTGAAAATGCTTTTGTTCATGTACTGCGCATGTAAATTTAACCACTTTGGACATTCATTCATTCATTTTCCTTTGGCTTAGTCTCTATTTCAGGGGTCGCCACAACGAAGTGAACCACCAACTATTCCAGCATACGTTTTAAACAGCGGATACCCTTCCAGCTGCAATCCAGTAATAGGAAACACCCATACACTCTCACATTCACACACACACTCATACACTACAACCAATTAAATAAATCAATTCTTCTTTAGCGCACTTCACACAAAAATGCCAACTGGCCCAGCCGAGACTTGAACCAGCGACCTTCTTACTGTGCTAAACACTGAGTCACCATGACACAGTGGACAGTGTTTTCAAAAAGATCTGTTTTTTATTTATAAAAATGCCATCTCGTTGTGGACTTCAGGCCGAAACGGCGAGAAAAATATGCATTTTTAAACAAAAAAGTATTAGTGTGGACATGGTCTTAATCTTTACAAAAAGAAAAACAACATAATAACATATACTTTCACATTAGTTTCCTTAAGAAGTATCTAAGTAACACATTTAACTACTTTAAAAAAGTAATATCAAACTTTTAAAAGTAATCTTACCCTACACTGATCCTAATTGTGCATAATCAAGCTGTGCTTTGAAATTTTTATTCGATATCTGACATAATCTCCACTGAAACATGAAGAGAGGGCGGGGTATATGTTAGCCCCTCCCCCTTTTAAAACAGCCAATAGTGTTTAGTTTTCTCACCGCTCTGCCAGTGAGAGTGGCTGAGCTCAAGCGCATCAAATGAAGAGCCAGTGAAAAGAAGGGGCGGGGCATGTCAGACTCTAGAGAGCATTTGATTGGTCAGAAGATTTGATTAAAACTGAAGCATGAGGAGACGTCGAAAAAATAAATGACCAATTTATGCGTAAGTGACAAACTGCAAACTTTGGATGTTTATATCAGGTTATATCTTCTAAATGTGAATTTTGTCACAGTTTTGGGTTATAGATATCCTTAAGACTAACACACTGATGCTAACATCTACTTTAAATTCACAGAAGCTTCAAAATTAGTCAAAGTGTGTTTTGGATTACCTGAATTTAGCAGAGCTCTGTGCTGATGGCATAGACATACTCCTGGCTTTAGTTCTGTTGCGGAAAAACTTTCCACGCAAGAGCTCCTCACTGCCATCACAGCCCGAGCAACAGTAGGGAAACGGTTTTGAGCTCGCATCGGACTTCAGTGTCCATTTAGACGCTCCGGAAGCCTCCATCTGGAAGCAGCACAAACAAAACATGAGAGTTAGCTCTGAAACACAACGCATACAAACACACTAACACGACATGCTGCATTTAAAGAGGACCTATTATGCAAAAATCACTTTTATAAGGGGTTTAAACACAGTTGTGTGACACAAGTGTGTGAATATAACCAGGCTCTAATGGTACAAATTAATTAACTATATTTTTATAATCAGACTTGATTAAAACAGTCTGCAGAAACACTCTGATTGAAATTCTCCCTTTGTACGTGTCATCAGAGGGGGGAAGCCCCGCCCACTAGTGACCATCTCCCCATCATTAGCATAAACAGCCCTGAGTGAGAAGCAGCTTTCTGCCATTATGCTGTGTTCACGCCAGATGCGGAACTTGTGAATAAATCATGCTATATAAATAAATCGCACGTAAATAGACGAGTGAACATTTTCACATCAAATTCACTTTATTTCTGCGTCAATTTCACTTCACAATAGGCACAGATTTGCGTCAAGGGCAGTGCTATTTAGAATTTGCAACAAATACTTTGATATTGATATCTTTAAAGAAAGTCTGAATGTGTGAATACTAACTTTACCTCAAATATGTACAGGAATTATAGTGAAACAACTATTTTTGTGTGTTACAATCTTTTTACTCCTTATAATAACCTACTTTAAAAGACTACAGAGGGAAATTAAGTCAAGTCACCATTATATAACAGTTCAATAATGACTGTTAATGTTTTATCTGTGACTGAACAACTGAAGTAAGCCAAGAATAAAACTAAATTTGTGAATATTCGTGAATATAAAGCTGATGAAACGACTCATAAACACTTTTTAAAACACACTGACGCCCTGATGTCATTCATTGTGGTTTGTAGGGACAAACAGTAGTCAGAATGACGGATTGTAGGAAAGCATTTATTATATATTACGTAAAGCGCAATGTTTACGCTAACTTAATTGTGCTTTAGTGGAAAAGCTTGTTTCTAAGCTGGTCTAAGCGGTCTAGGCAGCATTTTTGAAGCGATTCGAGTCAAAAACAAGGCATGCACCTGCGATGAACAAAATATCACACGTGAAATTGTAAACTGTGGTTATAAATGTGTTAGTTTGACCAAATGAGTTCTGAAAGAAAGTATATAAAGCAAAGGTTAAAGCGTTAGCCGCTAATGTTTAAGAAGAGTAACGTATCAAACCTCACATGCGCGCTCCTGATCCCCCGCCGAAAATTAGCCTATCTTTAGCCCACTGAATGGCTAATAACACAGCAGGCGTTATCCCGTTTGACTCTGAATGTAAGATATTAACACTTCCATCGCGTTATTAACGTGGACGGAGAGTAGGCTAACCGGTTCTGCAGTCTCTTCTCAGCTGTCATCTGTTCACGAGCTCGACACTTCCCTGAGACGACAGCCGTTCTGCGCGCTGATTGGATGAGGGAGCTGAGGGAGCGGGGCCTGTTTTGCCTTATAAATATTTATTTATTAAAGCGTTGTTCGACACTATGGTTTATGGTTCACTGTCACTGGAATTTTTAAATACGCATATTTTAACATCATTGTTATTCTTAATATATAATAAAAGTGTGAAATAAAAAGACAGACGATAGGCGTTCTGCGAGCTGATTGGATGAGTGTGCTAAGTGGGCGGGGCCTGTCTTATGAATATTTATGTTTTATAGCATCGTTCGACACTATGGTTCGACAATAATTACAGGTACACTGGATTCTTTAAATATACATATTTTAATATCAGTGATATGCTTTCTATGTAATAAAAAAATGACAGACGATAGCTGTTCTGCGTGCTAATTGGGGTGTGCTGAGTGGGCGGGGTCTTCTTGCCTTATGAATATTTATTTTTATGGTTCGACAATAATTACTCGTACACTGGATAAAATATACACATTTAACATCGCTGTTATTGCTTTTAATTATAATATTAAAAGTTATTCTATTGATGGAATGAATGAAATACAAAACACGCCTCAAATACAAAAAACTAATATTATTTACAGAATTCCCAAAGGAAACATTATAACTGTTTTATGGGATAGTGAATGGATAACTGGAGGATTAGTGTATTAAAAGAAAAACCTGAAAAAAAAGCTGTTCACTTAATTTAAATATTAATATGTATATTTAAAACAGTGTTTCTCAACCACATTCCTGGAGGACCACCAACTCTGCACATTTTCCATGTCTGCTTAATCAAACACACTTGATTCAGATTACTATGCCCATTAGCAGACTGAAAGACCTGTAATGGGTGTGACAGACAGAGGAGACATCCGATTCATGCAGTGTTGGTGGCCCTCCAGCAGGGTGGTTGAGAAACACTGATTTAAAACATATGAAGGGGATAATTCACCCAAATATAAAAAAATTCTGCCATGATTTATTCACCCTTTACTACGTTTCTTTCTTCAGTTATAAATGTTGGAAGCATTTGAGGGAGGGTAATAAGTCATTTTCTTTTTTGGGTGAACATTCCTTTTAAGACAGAAGAAGTGCAAACAAATAATAGATTATTATTATTTGTCTGCATTTGATTTTTTTTTAAAGGTCATTATTATATGCATTTTAAAAGTGCAGATTTCCCCAGGAATAGAAATTAAAAACTCAACTTATACTGTCCTTTTTTACAACTATAGGGTTTGTTATTACAAAACAGCACAGTTTATTGTAATAAAAAACAAAATAACACACAATACACTATTTATTACAGTTTATCAGTCAAATATAGTATACTGCAGCATTCACAAGTGTGGTAAATACTATAATATTTGACCCTGGACCATAAAAGCATGCATTCATATGTTGGGCGGATACATTTTTGGCAAAAATTGTTACAATTCCTTTAAAGTGGGTGTTTTCTCACCTCTGACCTTTGACATCCACTGTCCTGCAGGGTTCAGCCCTAAACTTGATCAACCTGTCTGTCACTTTCTGCTGATCCTGAATGCCTTGTTTATTTGTTCAGGGTAAGGTTAGATCTTAGAAAGATTGTGCGTCAAACCAGATGGACAAAACCACTGCAAAGTTGTTGAAAACTGCACTGTGAATAATATTAATTAACAGTATGTTACGTGTTTTGTGTTTATTTGCGGTTGTGAATTGCATTATGGGATGTTGATCTCTGCGCTCTTCACTTTTGATGTTGAGAATTCAACTCTACACTGTTAAAATAGTTGGGTTACAACTACCCCAACATATAACCCAACTATACCTACGGGTTATTTTAACCCAATATATAATTTAACCCAATGCATTGAGTTATTTTGATAAAAATTTTTTATTACTATTGATGCTATTACTAGCACTACTATTAATTGTATAATTATGGCTGTGTAAATAAATAACATACAGTTTTCAAAAATATTAAAAATATTGAAATTCCTATTACATTTTAGTTCCAGATTGTTAAAATAAATCAAGAATCACAAACAATGAAGAAACAGAAAAAAGCCTAGACAGTTATAAACTGTGCAAGCAGAAAACCCTGTGTTGATGGAGCAGAGTATGGAGCTCTGTGTGCTGTAGAGGCCGTCCAGCAGCTGCAGCAGGCTCCACTGTGTCCACAATGTACAATACAGTTTAACCACAACCAAACGCTTCTAAAAGATGGTCTTGGATGAGAAAATGGATGTAAAACCATGACACAGAGAGGTAATTTGATTAAAAAATAACAACATTATTAGTGCAAAATAGCTTAAATAAGCTTTATCACGCAAAAACAACATTACGCACACAAATGAAATTAAAATATTTAGCCCGACTGGTTGAGTTGTTGAATAAATTACCAAATAAAGGTTAAAAATAACCCAACAAAGCACCCAATATTTAACACGACTGGTTGAGTTATTAATAAATAACCTAATAAAGGTTAAAAATAACCAAACAAAGCACCAAATATGTTTAGCTCAACCATTGGGTTAAATAAATAACTCAAAGTTTTTTAGAGTGTACAGTTTAACAACGTGGCTTTATTGACATTTTAGTTGATTTGAAAAAAAATAATGTAAAATAAATACAGAAATGAGTGTTTGAAATAACAGAAAATGTGCTGCAGTTTATTACAAGGTTTTTGTAGCGTAATACTCAACACCCACCCAGACGATATAGCACTGTATACTATTACAAATGTTACTAAAATTCACTTTTTAAGATTAAAAATTGTTACTTTTTGAGGTTAATAAACAACAATCCATAATGCAATTCAAAAGTAGAAATAAATAGGGAAAATAAAAACATGAATCACAAAATACCAAAAACTGCTAATTTAGGGATATTTTACAGTGTGTATTGAATGTTTTGTTTATATTATTGTAGTTGTTGTGTTATCATAGCAATCATAGAATCATTGCAGATTATTTAGTATTTTTTTAAAGTGAGTGAACTAAATAGTGCATAGAGAACAGTAGGGAACTAGACAAACAGCACAGGCAAACCGCTAACCAACTCGTTCACCAGTCACATTTGCATTATCTATTTGACTGCACGACATTATCAGACGTGAACTAAAGTTAAACTCGATCAGCTTGATCTTTTTCCTGCAGCCCCAGAAAATCTGTTTCTCCACTTATTAATCATGCGGTCAAGACACAGACACAAAAAGCCAGTATTAGATGGAGCTCTTGTGTCCAATGTGGAATCCGCTGTGTAATCGTCCATCCGTCTCTGAGATCTTATTGGACACTATTTTTAATATTATTTGATTTTTTTTTAAAGAACTGTTCTGCAATTTCTCTACTACTTTCCATTATATGCCAGTGTTTCTTCAAGCCGAAGTGTTTGCGATGTTTATGCATTTGGGAAACATCCAATATAAAAAATAATATAGGAGTTTGTAGTAAATATTGTAGTGTTTTTGAACCATAAAGAACTTTGAATTAGTTGCTATGGTAACAACATCTATGATAGTTGATCTGTTGCGGTGATTCTACAGTTGCCATGGTAACAACATCTATAGTAATTGCTCTGTTGTTGTGATTCTACAGTTGCTATGGTAACACAACAACTACTAATGGATCTGTTGTGGTGATTTTACTGTTGCTATGGTAACAATATCTATGGTAATTGATCTGTTGTGGTGATTCTACAGTTGCTATGGTAACAACATCTATGGTAGTTGAACTATTGTGGTGATTCTATGGTTGCTATGGTAACAACATCTATGATAATTAATCTGTTGTGGTGATTGTACAGTTGCTATGGTAACAACATGTATAGTAATTGGTCTGTTGTGGTGATTCTACAGTTGCTATGGTAACAACATGTACAGTAATTGGTCTGTTGTGGTGATTCTACAGTTGCTATGGTAACAACATCTATAGTAATTAATTTGTTGTGGTGATTCTACAGTTGCTATGGTAACAACATCTATAGTAATTAATTTGTTGTGGTGATTCTACAGTTGCTATGGTAACAAAACAAATATTGTAATATAAACAAATAACCCAATACTGTAGTTTTCTACATCTATATGGTATATTATACTGCAATACACCACAGTTTACTGTAGTAAAAACCTTTCCTAAACGGATAAAACATAATTAAATACATTATATAAAACACTACAGTATTTATAAAAGTTTATCAAAACTAGAGATGATGTTTTTAAAAGTGTTTCAAATGAATTATACAGTACAACACACTTTTACCATAGTATGGGTGAAAAACACTATAGTATTTGCTCTGGACTACTATAGTATTTTGCAAAGTGGACTGAAACATCAAACTATATTGATAGCAACAAAACTTTTGGGAATGCAACCCAGACCCAGGGACATTCTTTAATGCATGTTTGACCAGTTTTAGAAAGCTGGATTGGAGGGGGGTGGGGGTTATATTATAATCTCATGTCTTTTTTAAGTACTAACATAATTATTTAATGTTACTTAGTTAAATGTGAACGTATGTTTTTGCATTTTATAATATAATATTTTATATATAATTTTAAAGAGAAAAATAGGCCTAAAATGGTAATATATTTCTCTTTTTTACACTGGACATTTGCAAAGTACCTGTTGCTTTTTAACACTCAGACTTGTTTAGCTTGTTCAGGTGTGTTTAAATCATGTCAGCGCAAAGGAAACACTCTGGACTGAACATCTCGCCTCCCTAGAAATCAACAATGTCATGCAAATACTTGTGTCTCTCCACATGTCACTCATTTTCTCAGCGTCCTTCTATTAAACTGGCTTTGCAGTTCGTTTAAACAAGCACACCTGAGCACCTATCAGATGTCGATTCAGCCTTCAGGGCTTTATTCTTTATTCTGCGCTGGGTGCTTTTCATACAGTACATCTTGCAAGCATAGCTGAATGAGAAATCTGTTACGGGGCAGTTCACCCACAAAATGAACATTGTGTTATAATT